AGCTTCACAGATAAGGAAAAGCTAAAGGAGTTCATCACCACCAACCAGTATTATATGAAATGCTGAAAGGTATCCTTTAAGAAGAGGAAGAAGAAGAAAAAGGTAAAGATATAAATTATGAACAACAAATACACATCTATTAACAAGTGAATCTAAAAATCAAGTGAATAAATAATCTGATGAACAGAATAAACGTGATTGTAATAGAATCATGGGCATAGAAAGGGAGTGGACTAACTATTCTTGCGGGGGAAAGGGGTTGGAGATGTGGGAAGAGACTGGACAAAAATCGTGCACCTATGGATGAGGACAGTGGGGGTTGGGGGTGAGGGCAGAGGGTGGGAGGGGAACTGGGTGGAGGGGAGCTATGGGGGGCGGAAAAGAGGAACAACTGTAATAATCTGAACAATAAAGATTTAATTATTTAATTAATAAATAAATAAATAAATGTAAAAAAAATAAAATAAAAATAGAAATACCATAGGGGGAGTGGGTAGGGGCTGGGAGGAGAGGGACAAAGGGTGTGTGGAATGGGAGATATCTATAATACTATCAACAATAAAATATATATGTATACACACACACACACACACAATAAAGGTTTAAAAAATTTTAAAGTACCATATATCTAAGTTGACAAAAATGTTCTAATGATTAATATAATGATGGCTGTATATATCTCTGAACGACTTATACATATTACAAAATAATTACCATATTAAGTTTAATTAACATAAATTACCTCACATAGTTTAAAAATTTTTTTCTATCCATGTAAATGAGAACTTTAAGAATCTACACTCTTGTTTATCTTATAACTGAAATTCTGTACCTTTTGAGCACCTTCATCTAATTCCCCCATCCTCAAATCCTGCCTCTGATAACCACAAATCATTTCTTGTTTTTCTGTGAGTTTGGGTATTTTTTTAGATTTCATATATAAGTAATATCATACAGTATTTGTCTTCCTCTGACTTATTTTACTTAGCATAATATCCTCAAAGTCCATTGATATTGTTGCAAAAGCTAGGATTTCCTTCCTTTTTATGACTGAATAGTATCCATTCTATCTATCTATGCCACATATTTTATCCATTTACCTGTCAACAGACACTAGGTGGTAAAAATGATGGAACTGATCTTTTAAATGGATGAATTTTATAGTCTGTGAATTATATCTCAAATGAGCTTTTATAAAAAAAAAGAGATAAGAGAAGGTTGGAGGGAGGGAGGGAGGGAGGGAGGGAGGGAGAGAGAGAGAGAGAGAGAGAGAGAGAGAGAGAGAGAGAGAGAAAGTAGGGAAAGGAGGTAGGAAATGAAGGAGAAAGAAAAATAGTAGTCCACGTACTTATGCAGAGAACGTATGGATCGAAGAAACTAAATTTTAAGAGCTTCTGGATATGTTCCACAAAGGGATCTTGTGGGTTATTCAGGGAATCAATGTTCACTCCAAATGATGTGCCAGTAATCACATCCATGCTGTAGGCCCCAAACACGCTGAGTAGAGAAATAAAGACATAGAAATTTAAAATCAGCACCTCTTTACTATCCTTATCCAACACATACAATAGGAAGGACACGTAAATTCATATGCCCAGGCAAAGACAGGTAAAGAGCCACACAACTGTCAAAACCATTGGCTGGATCATCTAAAGAATCTATGTTCCTGTCACAGTCAATCATGAGGTGTTTATCAGATGCCAGTCATGCAACTGGCCCTGTGCTGGGTTCTGGGGACACCAAGGCAAGTTAGACCCACCTGTGAGCAATAGGAGATCAGTCAGAGGGAAGGAGACCCATAATCAGGCAAATTACACTAGTGTGTTTTGAGTCTGGACAATAGTAGCCATACTGTGCTTGAGCAGGACCAAGGGTAGGTAATGACTCTTCTCCGTGGAGTCAAGAAAGGTGACATTGATCTGGGTCTTGCCTCACCACAGTGTCTATACTCAGAGCTGATTCCACTTCAGCACATGACAGAACAGCAGCACCCTGGTCTGAGTTGCCAGGAATGCCATCGCTCCTTCTCTGCACTCCTGCTAAAGCTCCTAAGAGACCCACTGTCCTCAAGTCCAGTGATCTCAAGTTGCCTTTAGGGCACATTCATTTCTGTAAAATGTAAGAAATAAGAATGCTCCTAGTTTAAGAAATAACAATAAAAATATCACTCAAGAATCAATTTGGGGGAATCCCATAGGTAAGTGATCATATGTCTCCAGTTTTCCCAGATCAGTCCCACTTTACCTCTGTTGTTCCTACATAGTTAAAAGTATCTTACTTTAGATAATAAATGGCATGCTTTCCCTACCCATAGTCTATACAGGACCTTCTTTAATTTGAGACTAAAGAAAGGAAAAGTGGTGGGAAGGTTTAATATTTCATATTTTGCTGATATCCTCACCAAGAACATGAAGGCGTTTAAGTTGTCCCAAGTTCCACACTGTAACTTCCCAGCCCCACCCACTGCCCACCAATATGTACCAGTGCCTTACCCTGCTACTATTTCATATTCTCTACACCAGTGATGGTGAACCTATGACACGCGTGTCAGAGGTGACATGCGAACTCATTTTGTTGGTTGATTTTTCTTTGTTAAATGGCATTTAAATATATAAAATAAATATCAAAAATGTAAGTCTTTGTTTTACTATGGTTGCAAATATCAAAAAATTTCTATATGTGACATGGCACCAGAGTTAAGTTAGGGTTTTTCAAAATGCTGACACGCCGAGCTCAAAAGGTTCGCCATCACTGCTCTACACTGAAAACTTTGGTACAATCATGTTTCTACTTTCTAAACTACGTATTTTTGTCTTCAAGAATATCCAAGGTGACAACTAAGCAGACAAATTAATCCTGGTTCATGTACACAGGAGAAGATCTTTCTCTCCTGGCTGCCCTGCATTTTTGGAGGAGCCACATCCTCTTGGGTAGCCCATTGGAGTTCTAACACCACACACCCACTTCTGTCTGGTCATTACAGTAATTCAGTGGGAACTGGGCTCTGGCAGGCAGCTGGGGGGTCTTGGAGCAGAGCTCAGAATCCCAGCAGCTGGCCTCCTACTTACTCTTTCAAGGTGATGGGCTTGCCTTTCTCTGCTTCCTTCCTCAGGTTGCTGACCAACACATCTGCATACTGGCCAATGATGGGGAACATCTAGACACAAAATACAACACCATCCAAAGTTAACTATGAAGACTCAAGACCTAGCTTTCTTAAGCATGGAGCAGTAAGTGATATCTTATAATGAATCTTATAATGTCAATTCTAGGACATAAAGATAAAAGACCATTATTAGGAAGCTCAAATTCAGCAAGCTACCCTTGGAAAGAAACTATCTTACTTTCTACCTGTCCCCAGATATATTATTTAAGTTTCAAATTAAGTATCCTCTTATACTCTTACCTCCTTGAGCTTTCCACTGGTGAAGGTTGGAGACAGCAATGTTCGTATTCTCTTCCAAGTTTCATCCTCAGCTATAGAGATGGCACTTTTCATAAATCCCACCGGACCAACGGCCTAGAGTTTAAAGCAAAGGACATTTTGCCCTGTGTAAGTTTTGGAGTTCTCAAAAGTTGTTAAGCGGGCATCAATTATTCAACAAATATTTAGTGACTGTCTAGTTAGCAGAAGGCCCTATGCTAGATATGCAATAAATACTTATCCCAATGCCTAGCATTTCATGAAGGTGCAGGAGTCACCTGATGTGGTTTCCAGCCTTTATATTCCAATCTCTTTCTCAAGGCAAATGACCCACGTGTTGAAGGAACTGCTCTTCCAGGAGAATAGATAGGAATAAGACCTATTACATCCTTCAGAGCTGTGCAGGATAGAAAGGAATTCTTGACAGATAGACAGATAGCTTTAGCAAACTGTTTGCTGCCTCAGACCAGCTCTATCTTTACTTATATCTACAGCTTGAGAAACTTGAAAAGGGGATGTTTAATATGATAGCTTTTAAATAAAATAGTAGTTAATACTTAAAAGATAAGAAATCTATTTGCTATTCTTAAACATGGAAATCCCTTTCCCTTACATTTTCTCACCAGTGATAGAAGAAAAAAATGTAATTATATTTCTCAGGTTGAGATTGGCCTATCAGACCAACCTGCTTGACTCATTTCTTCCATTTTTCCAACACTTCGTTTTGTTCTAAAATGTATATTTCCAATACACATTCATGATATTTTTTTAAAAAAACCTCACCAACTAGAAAAAAGGGAAACTTCCTCAACTTGATAAAGAGCATCTACAAAACCTAAAGGTAACATCACATGAATGAGATAAGCCTGGAGTAACATCACCTGTTGGAGTAGGAGACTCCTGCCTCCATTGCCCCCTCCCCAGAAAAAAAAACAATTAGTTACCCACACACAAAAAAAATAGGTCTAAGAGAGCTCAGGAGTTCACTCAAGAAAATCAGCAACAGAATGGAGCAAAAAAATCCCTGAGAATAACTGTATAAAGTGGATAGGGAAAATAGTCTTATTTTGTCTGCATCATCTCATCCCCCAGGCTGGTGCTGCTCAGTGCCAAGAGGGAAGTTCCCAGCCTGGGAGACTTCCCCTTGCTGAGAAAAGAGAAATAGGGTGAGTGATAATTTTCCCCAGCCTTTCAGGGCATTGTACAAATTACCTGATTTGGGATAGATGAGAAGTCTAGAGATAGTTAAGAACACAGAAGAGCAAGAACTACCAGTATCAGCCATGTGGCATGAGTGACCACGATTTTTTGTGTCCAGCTCTGCAGAAGACCCCAGTAGCCTTTGAGGCTGAGGAAACAACTGGGCACAGATGCTGTGAAACCCCTGAAAATGTTACTGCTGACAGTCCCACGGGTTTTCATACTCACAAATTCCAGGAGCCTGAATCCTGCCCAACCACACTCCACCCCGACCAGTGCTGCCCCAACTCGTGCCACCACTGAGCAGGATCTGTGCCAGCAGACAGCCCTGGCCTCTGTGGCTGGGCATGTGTATAACACTAGCCCAGCCCCCTGCAGATGCTCAGGTGCCTAGAGCCAGCTCTGACTATTAGTGGACTACATTGACACATATGCCCACAGCTAATCCCTGCAGCCACACACCTGCACACTTTCAGCCTCCACTCCATCACCAGCTCCCACTGCCCTGCATGTCTTAGGTAGCTGCTATAGCTACATGAGTATACACTGACTGCCCAGGCACTCTAATCTATTTGTGTGCCCACAGCTGGCCCCAACCCCTGCCACTGGAACTGGATCTCACCATTGGACGTGTGTGCCTGCAGTTAGCCCCAAGAATTTGCATACCACTAAATTTGGCTGCCACTGTTACCTGTCCCAGTCCCTCATCACCGGACCTCTTGATGCTGTTGAAAACCCCAACCGCCCTTGCAGCCACAATGGAACAAACACAGCTCTTGCTGTCAAGGATCATATAGTTGGTTATGTTGTGAACCCCTGCTACCTGGCCAATGTTGCCCATGAGACCTGGAGCCACTACACACCCCCAGGTGGCATCCTGCATTATTAGACCAAGGGTTACTCCAGTGTGCCCCAACCCATAAGTAAAGGTCTTTCCTTATTAAAGGTACTTTGTAAAGTCTGCAAGAAGTGACTGCTTCTTCAAATGCACAGACACCATTGCAAAACTACAGTAACCACAAAGAATCAGGGAAACATGACTCCACCAAAGGAACCCAATAAACTTCTAGTAACAGACCCCAAAGAAATGAGATCACAAATGGCTTTAACAAGGTATTAAAAATACTTGTCCTACCAAGAGGGATATCTTGGCTGTGGAGATCCCCCTAAGGAGTGAGGGGTCCCAGCACCACATCAGGCCCCCCAACCCAGGGTCCCCGTGCTGGGGAGAGAAAATCCTCATAATTTCTGGCTGTAAAACCCAGCAGGGATTGAGGCTGAGAGGGATGAAGGCTGCTGGAGTCCCAGGCAGTTTCTCTTAAAGGATCTATGCAGGAACTAACTCAAACTCCCTCTGAGTTCCAGTGCAGAGGCAGCAGAAACCAGAAGAGCAAAAAGAAAAAAGAATCCAAAAAATATGAAGATAGTGTAAGGAGCCTCTGGGACAACTTCAAGTATACCAACATCCAAATTATGGGGGTGCCAGAAGAAGAGAGAGAGCAAGACATTGAAAACCTATTTGAAGAAATAATGACAGAAATCTTCCCCTACCTGGTGGAAGAAATAGATTTACAAGTCCAGGAAGTGCAGAGAACCCCAAACAAGAGGAATCCAAAGAGGACCACACCAAGACACCTCATAATTAAAATGCCAAGGGCAAAAGACAAAGAGAGAATCTTAAAATCAGCAAGAGAAAAACAGTTAGTTACCTACAAGGGAGTGCCCATATGACTGTCAGCTGATTGCTCAACAGAAACTGTGCAGGCTAGAAGGGAGTGACAAGAAATATTCAAAGTGACGAATAGCAAGTACCTACAACCAAGATTACTCTACCCAGCAAAGCTATTATTTAGAATTGAAGGTCAGATAAAGAGCTTCACAGACAAGAAAAAGCTAAAGGAGTTCATCACCACCAAACCAGTATTATATGAAATGCTGAAGGGTATTCTTTTAGAAGAGGAAGAAGAAGAAAAAGGTAAAGATAAAAAATATGAACAACAAAGTGACAACAAATACATATCTATCAAAAATTGAATCTAAAAGTCAAATGAATAAAAAATCTGATGAACAGAATAAACTGGTGGATGGAATAGAGTCAGGGGCATGGAAATGGGACAGACTGATAGTTCTCAGAGGGAAAGGAGTGTGGGGGATGCGAGAAGAGATTAGACAAAGATCTTATATGCATGTATGCATTACCTATGGATACAGACAATATGGTGGCGAGGGCCTGGGGTGGGGTGGGAACTGGGTGGAGGGGAGCTATGGGGGCGGGGGAAGAGGGACATTTGTAATAATCTCAACAATAAAGATTTTTTTAAAAGAATATCAAAAAAAAGATAAGCTACACACTATGACTATAAAAGAATAGTAAAAGGGAGCCTTATGGAGATGGAACCGTTCTGTATATTCATTTATGGCAGTAGTTACACAAATCTACACACATGATAAATGTTATAAGAAATGCACAAATGAGTGCACATAAAAATTATGAAATCAGAATACCTCTATAGATATAATACTGATGTCAATTTCCTGCTTTGACATTGTACTATAGTTATATGGGATACTAGAGGCCCAGTGCATGAAAATTTAGCATGCAGGGGGGGGCCCTCAGCCAGCCTGTGCCCTCTTGCAGTCTGGGAGCCCTCAGGAGATGTCTGACCGGGCAGGCCAATCAGGGGACGGCGCAGCCAGTGAGCGGCTGGCCCCGTCCCCCATCGCCTTGCGCTGCTGCCACTGCTGGTGGACTCCCTCTGCATAGGCAACTGGGCAGGCTGATCAGGGGATGGCACTGGCTGGCAAGCCGCCCCCCCACCACTGTCCCCTCCTTCTGCCCGCTGGCACATGCCTTAGCTGGCCTGGTACCGCCTGCTCGCCAGCCCCCTGCTGACTGGTCATTCCACTGCTCAGTCAATTTGCATATTAAGATTTTATTATATAGGACTAGAGGCCCAGTGCATGAAATTCATGCACGGGGGGGGGGGGCGGTCCCTCAGCCCAGTCTGCACCCTCGGACTTCCCTCTCACAATCCAGGACTGTTGTCTCCTAACCATCCACCTGCCTGCCTGCCTGATTGCCCCTAACCCCTCTGCCTGCCTGCCTTATTGCCACTAACTACCCTCCCTTGCCGGCCTGATCACCCCTAACTGCCCTCCCCTGCCGGCATGATCGCCCCTAACTGCCTCTGCCTTGGCCCCTGCCACCATGGTTTTGTCCAGAAGGAAGGCAGGACAACCGGAAGATGTCTGGTTGACCTGGTCTAATTAACATATCACCCTTTTATTAGTATAGATTACTATTGGGGGAAACAGAGTGAAAAAGGGATATTCCTGCATTTTTTATAACTTCCTGTTAATTTATTATTATTTCAATATGAAACTTTATAAATAAATAACAATTTAATTTTTAAAAGAATGGATACCTACCCGCCTATTTGTGAAGACAGAATAACATTCTTTTACTAGGACTGTTTTGATCACTTCTAGATCAGTGATTGCCAACACAGGCTGCCGACCATCATAGAACCTATGTCAGGAAAAACAGAGCTGATTAAATTGAACAAGCCAGTTTCTGCAGCTGGAGCCACAACTGGAAGTCTAGACTTCCATTCTAATGCTATATCATTCATATTCCTAGAGATCATTGTTAGAAATAACATTAGAACATTTAAATCCAGGTGGTGTGTAAATGGGAATTTCTTGTATCATTCTTTAAAATTTTTGTATATTTAACATATTTCATTATAAAAAAGGAAATTAGTAAATAGATGAAGGCAGATAAATTACCTGGCAACAGAAAAAAATATGTAGAGCCCACCTACTCAGTTACTTAAAAACATACTTTGGAAGTTATATGAAAACTAGGAGCCCAGTGCACGAATTTGTGCACCTTTAAAGGAACTGTAGGCTGCAAGGCTGTGGTGGGCACAGGGGCAGGTCTCGGCTCATCCTCCATGCCCCTGCCCAGCCCCTCCTACTGTGGCCCCAGTCCCAAGTGGGCCTAAGTGGGCCTCAGGCCCCATGTAAGAGACATCAGCCAGCAGCAGGACAAGCCACTTTTAACACACACACCACACAAAGCTGACTCTTTCTGAGATACATCCCAATCTGGCCATCTCCTGGCTGGTTTACTATAAGTTGAATTACATGAGGTTTGCTATAAGTTTAGTCACACTGTCCTCTAGCATTTTATTTTTTACTATAAATCATTTCATTAACTAGAATATAATGGGAAATTTTCCACAAGTCTTATCTATTCTTTCTTTGACTCCTCAGAGGACTTTCAAACCGTTTTGTGATCCATATAAAAATCGATGAGGACCCCTGCACTTAATGCTGCCCATTTCCAAAAAATCTTCTGAAGCTCAGAAGGTGTAAGTGGGTGTCAAGTACACTTAGTGTTGAAGCAGTGATATAAGTAATTGTGGTGGCACTTAGATTGGTCAGATTGACTGACTGTATTTCTTGGATGATTCCCTTCTCCCCATCTTGTTTTTCAAAAACACCTGGGTGGAGAGACACAAGGTTTTGGGTAACCCTCTACATTTATGACCTCACACCAGCCTTAGAGTTTGTTACAATACAGGCAACATTCAGATTCTTGGGCCCCGGCCCTGACACTGCGGATTTGGTGCTGCTGGGCCCTAAGTGTGTATGTTTAACACACTCTCCAAGGTGGTTCTCATACACACCCAAGCGCGAGAACCACTTTCTAAAGAAAGTGACTCCATGCTGAGCTCACAAGTGGTCAATGTTGGGAGGGCAGTTGGAGCTGGGCCAGTGGTGACCCAGTGCTGTGTGTTCTTTCTACTCCATCACGTAGCCTTTCTGGACCCTGCCAACTCAGTAGAACCTTATGGTTTCTGAGGATTTGAAAGGGGATGAAACAGTACTGAGAAGCAAAGCCTTCCCCCCTTTGCTTCTAGGACACAAACACCACGTTACACCTCTCCTGCGGCTCTCACCACACCTCCAGCAGCTCCAAATGGGAACAGCCGCTGCAACTGACTGAAACCACTTTGTAAAATCCTTAAGTCCATCAGCCCACCAGGAAGCAGTATGGTTTGGAAATATTCTATCTCTTCAAAGTCAGTAGAATATGGTAGATAAAGCAATACTTGTATAAACTAAACTTCTATTGAGAAGTCTTGGTTTAAACATTTTTTTAAACCCATACTCTAAACTTGTGGAGGAAGTAAAAACAAAGCCAAGCAGATATGGTTTCCCATTCTGTTTACCTAAACCCATAGCTTTTTCAAAAGAATATAACAAATCCAAATTTGAAATTAAAGAGTTGGGCTTTTAATTAATAGTCAATTATGGTCCAGCTGGTGTGGCTCAGTGGTTGAGCATCAACCCATGCACCAAGAGCTGGTTGGTTCGATTCCCCCGGTCAGGGCACATGCCCAGTTGTGGCCTGATCCCAGTAAGAGGTGTGCAGAAGGCAGCCAATCAATGATTCTATCTCATCAATATTTCTATCTCTCTGTTCTTTTCCTTTCTTTTCTCTCTCTAAAATCAATAAGAACAAAAATTTTTAAAATAACATAAAACTATGGTTTATAATGTTTTTAAAGTCAATTATGTAGGGTTATGATCGAAATATATTAGAAGGGTCTGAAGTTATGCATTTCATGCAATTAAAGGAGACTGAATGGAGGAAAAATAGAGACGAGGGGAATAATGAGACACTGGACAGAAAGTGATGCCAGGAGTCCCTAGGCCATTAAAGTCTTGAGAGTATGATAACCTGCAACTCCCCATCTTGATTCAGAACGCAGCCTGGACACCTGGTGACATCTGGGGTCCTAGAGGACAAGCCTCTAAAAGCTTTACAATAGGCTTTGAGCTGAGATTGTCCTCCACACCAGGGAGGCCCTCATCATAACAGCAAGTCTATCCAATGGGAGTTTCCCGAATACTCACCCCCACATGTTTCCATACTTTTTAAAGCAGTCCATGTCAAAATCCCATATACCCTGCAAGGAGAAACAAAATTAGATTATTAATCTAAATGTATTGAACTCTACCTCTAAAATCTCATAACCCCAGAATTATTACCTCCATAGCCACTCCAGAAATGAAGCTGAGGGAGAGTAAGAGTGACCTGCACACTCTTTGACCTCCTGGTCAAGCATCCTTTTCATTTATCTCATGAGCCCTCTCTAGAATCCTAGCAGAACTAAGAAGTTTAAGACACCAGGGACCTCTTTTAGTCTAGCAGATTTAAACACATCTAAGGCATATTTGCTGAATGAGAAGTGAGTGACTGAATGAATGGCAAAGTGACTCACTCCCCAATTTTCCAGCTCAACACGGAAAAGATGGGGAGATGTCACCACTCCAGAAGGACAGAGCAAATTAAAATACCTTCTCTGTGCTTTCACTTCTATAATTAAAAAACACATCTTGTGGCTAAGTTTCAGTTGTGATATTTTATGTTTTAACTATGCAAAGGAAGTTCCAGAAATGTGGGTCTTGGGGTGCATCTTCAAGGAGTTGATCTGGGAAAGGTGGAAAGGAAATTGCCTTTTCAGAGGCAAAAAGTATGGGATTTTTTAACTCAATGAGGCCCTGAAGAACTCAGCTTGGAAAATTAGAATCTGAGAATCTGGTCTACAGGAAACAAAATCTGATGCAGAAGGCAGTTTGCATGTAAGGCTCTGCCTGCTGGCTTTATGGACATGAGCTCATAACCTTCCATGTAGGGGTCAAGCCCTGGGCAAAGCATCAGGGCTAGATCAACCACAAACACTTTGCCAAAATTCACAATCCTTATGTCACTGAGGTCATTCTATTCAGATAAAATAAATGCTCAATAATTTTGTCCAAACATCTCTCCTTTCTAGTAATTTTGTGTGAGCAAATATCTGAAGTCCATAGATAAACACCATCTTACCTCAGTTATATCCACTCCCTCTCAGACTCAGCCATAGGGTGCCTCCTTTGAGGGCAGAGAAGTAAAGCAGACAGCTCTTGTTCCATCTCTCAAATCCCCAAAGACGTCATGGGGAGCAAAGGGTGAGTCAGAACCATGGGAATAACTGCAGGGATTTATCAGTTCTCTAGAGAATTCAAGTATTTATGTGCAAATTACCGATGGTGACTACTTGGGTGCCTAATGCTCTGAGGTTTCAAAGCTATCCAAGAGGAGTCAAGAAAAGGCTACCTAGAACGTATCCTGTGAACAGGAAAGTCTGACTCTAGCACATCCGACTTCATGGGGCACTACCAGGCATCCCTTCATGCTTTCTCCTAATCCTAAGTATGGTTATGTCTTCCTGGGAACCTGCACCTCCAGAAAGAAAATGCTCCTCACGATGCTCACACGTTGGGACAAGGCGCAAGCTGGATCAGCTGAGAGCTCTGCTGCCCCACTGAGCCAACCCCTGAGGCTCCTGACAGCGGACACTGAGCCTGGGGTACACCTGGCCTGCGCAGGGCGGGGCCTATGGTGCCTTTTCTGGAAAGTGTGAGACCTCAGAACTTCCTCCTGAGCAAGGCCCTTTTACTAGGGAACTCAGCTGCGATTTGGAACCATAAGAAGCAAAAGAAGAAGCGCAAACAGCACTCACCTTACGGTAGCCCAGAACAGTTCCCATAAAAGGTAGGGGTGTTGGCCCAGGGATTCCCAGTTTCTTAAAAAGTCCATGTGTATAGGTCCCATATCTATAAAGTAAAAGAGAAAGCCAGGTTACAGGAATTATGGACTAGGTCCTGGGGCTGGACAGTCAAGGTAGAGAATGAACATGTAAGTGGTAAGTAGTAACAACTCCCACAGCAATAATTACATTCACTCATCACCTCCTTTCCCACTTCCGCTGTGAGATTCAAAGAAAGTAATGGTGATTAGATAAAATCAGTTGAACTTTCCATGGACCCAACCCCAGAATGAATACTTGACAAATGTTTCCAAATGAGAGTGCTCCTAAGAGGCTGAGGCTGGAATGTTTTCCAGGAGATTCACTCATGGCTATTTAGTAAGTTTGTTTGTTCATAATGTTGGAGATTCTAATTCTAGGTAGAAAAAGGGAAAATAATTTCTGCTCCAATGATGATATTTTGCTTAACTTCATCCACTCAGTAACTGAGAGTTACTGCAAGCCTACTGAGACATTGTTCTTACAGTCTGCTCAGTCACATTTATGCTTTTTCTTCCCCCTATGCCCTGACCCTGTTTTAAGCTCTGATTCTTCTTAAATATATCATCATAAAGAGGCCTTAGAATAGCCACAGTGCAGGCTATTTCTACAGAATTAAAATTGTGTTCAGGGCTTTCACTGGCATCACAGAAATGTGAGTGCCTTTCAGCTACACCCAATCTCTGTTGTCAGGCAATTTGATTGGCTTGAGCTCTAGAGAAGGGTGATTGACCCCTATGTTTCCTGAATGAAACTGTATAAAGGAACCTATGAGTAAAGGCTCAATTTCCAGACCATTCTTCCCCTCACTGCATTTGTTTCTTCACCCTGTGATGCTCACCTGCTAAGCACAGTGCCAGGCTCACTCATTTTATCAAGATGGCCAGTCAGAAAGCAGTTAGTGTACTGCTTCTGTGTCAACTACCTCAAAATTGAGGCCGGTGCTAACTATGGTAGGCCTGCCTGCATTTGATCTTTCATGTGTCATGTGTGGAGTTTCACAACTGAGGGTTCTGAATCCTTGCAAGCCTTCCCACTCCAGTATTACTAAGAGATGGAAGAGTGGAGGATGAAGAGAGGCTCAGGAAAGAGGCCACTGGCAACCATTTTAAGGATGAAGTTGCTAGGCCTACAAGTCTCACCTCATAGAGGCAAATTAGAAAAGTACGGCTGGAAAGTAGGCTCTGCATAATGGTTCAACATGCCCTATAAGCACTTTCGGCTAAAAGGCGGCCTTCCAAACTTCAGTACCTTCCTGTTGACAGTGAAAGATGTGCTATACAACATAAAATAAGTACCCATGAAATGTTCCAGAAAGTCAAATTAAAACCTTGTTGTCTCTTCTTTGGAGGTTAACCTTTAAGAAAGTATAGGTTCCTAACATTGTGTACGATTTTAATAATCTATAACATTGGATGAAAAAAAAACCAAAAAACATTGCATAAAAGGACCTGTGCTGAAGGACAGCAGAGGTACTTCAGTCAAACCCAAATAGGTATTTGGATACCTTCCTCCAGAAAGTTGGTGCAATTATGTGCACTCACTTCAAAACCTGAGGTACCCTTGGTTAGTCCCACCCGAGTCCCTTCCTTTGCCATGACAGTCATGGCAAATCAATTAAACCCATTTCTGCTTCTGAACTCTCAGCATGTTACATGAACTCTCAAGTGAGGCCAAGCAACATTGATCCCACTGAGTGATCTAGTCTAGAGTCTAAACTCACATGGTCCCATAACAAGGCATTGGGTGGGCTGGGTGAATTCCTTGGTTTCTTTTCAACTTCCATCTTTTTGGTAGAGAAATGCTGCTTTGGGTTCAAAGAAAGGGGCTAACAATAAAACCAATCATTTTTATTGCACTTACATCGTGTTGCCATAAGAGGGCACCGTCTACTCTATAGCTACTGACTCATGGCTGTACCAGTGTCTTCTAAGGCTACAGTGTTGTTTATCCAGTGGTGCCAGTATCTAGTGACTGACCCATTGCCACACAGACCACACAGTGTGACTTCGATGGTGCCCTATCCCCAGATTTCAAGCAGATGAGATGCCTACACTGTTGCCCTCTTAATGACCTACTGCAGGCCCAGGACCTGGCGTATCTGGGGAAAATGTTCTCCCACTCCATCCAGAATGCCTCTCTTATCATCACTGGCTCACAATCTCGCTTACCTGAACTGTGAGATTAAAATAACTGGTTAGGCAAGTATATTTTAAAAAATATATATAATCTATGTTATAGAAGTATATATTTGTACAATGGACTCATATTCCTGATATTATTCTAGTAGGGTGAAGTTATTTACACACTTTTGTGGACATAAATCCTGAACCAACAGCCTCTTTTATCCTACAGAAAGAACATGCTGGAAATAGTCTTAGTAAAAAACAAATCTAATATTAAATAGAATTGAATTAAACATTATCAGTTAATTTTAAAATGTTATCAGAGAGAAAATGTTGCCACAATAAACTGTATTTATAATATTTCCTTCATAGAATTGAAACAAAGTATATATTTTCTATGTTCATGTCATCATGATTTCCTACTCTTAATGAAAGAGAAATTGAGATAGAGGTCAAATGGGACAGAGAGGGATTGGTCCTTCCCTACCCACATGTCCAAAATGACTTCTCCCTCAACCTGTTTCATGATGCCAGGAATCTCATGCTTGAAATGAATTCCTCTGCTAGATGGTTTGATTCATCCTCCTGCACTGTAAGTTAATGGGGGAAAATTTTAAACCCAAATTTGCTTTTGGGCTCCTGCCTTTGCAGGCAGTTAGCAGATTTCATATTGGGAGAAATAAATCTCTATAATGATGCCAACCCTCCCCAAAGACTAGAAGAAAAAGGTGAAAGAAAAGAATACGGTTTCAAGATTTCTGCTAAATTCCTCCTGCTCTAAACTTTTCTCATTTAGGGGTAATAGTTCTGCCAGTTACAAGGTGTGGGAATTGAGTATTAGGAGGGGAATTTTAGGGGAGAGACAGAATAGAGGAAAGAGCTAGTCTGAAGAGAAGGGGGGAAGTCTTCAGCCCCTCCGAAGTCTGGGGTGCACCCTCGTACATGGTGTAAATTATACCAGGCAGTGGGAGGGAGGAAGCAGGAACAAACCTAGTGACACAAGGGCCATTCCTTGTGCACATCTCTAGCAGCAGACACAGAACTGGAAAGGTGAAGATAATGAGACAAACCCCCAGGCCACTCCCTCCTGCCTCCAGGATCCCTGGAACTGGGAAAGGGACAAGGACAGAAGCCGGTTGTTTTTAATCTGCCTCAGCTGAATTCTGGTTAATACTGTCTAGGTCCGTGGTGGGCAAACTGTGGCTCGCGAGCCACATGTGGCTCTTTGGCCCCTTGAGTGTGGCTCTGCCTAAGCCTTAGGAATACCCTAATTAAGTTAATAACAATGTACCTACCTATATAGTTTAAGTTTAAAAAATGTGGCTCTCAAAAGAAATTTCAATCGTCGTACTGTTGATATTTAGCTCTGTTGACTAATGAGTTTGCCGACCACTGGTAGGTCTACCCAAACTGTCAATTAGAAAATCACCCCCAGGAGCAAGTAATGTCCCCAAACACTCTGGTCTACAGAAATTGAGAGTTGGGGGCAAATGGGACATTAATTACCCTTTCAACAGATCAGGGTGAGAGCAATAATAATCCCTTTGGTGTTTGTAGCCCCCACCGTTTAAACAACTTCCCCGGTTGGATCTTTAAACCAGATAAGGCAGAGAGGGGCCCGATGAGCTCCCCAAGGCCAAGATTACAGAGGCCATGAGCCTGGACAGTAACTCACAGATAGAGGAGCACCAGGCTGGTAGCCAGGAGAACCCAGGTTCCTGTGGAAAAGCTTGGGATCAGGTCCATGGCCACTTTTGTTCGAGGTTCTCTCCTCTCGAGTTTTCCTGTCAGCAAGCCTTGTGTGTTACGCTCTGCCAGCCAGCCCGTGCGTGTGTGCGTGCGAAGCTTCCTGCCCCTCCCCTCCCCGCCCCGTCCCTCCCCTCCCAGCTGTGATTGAGCCCGACTGGAACGTTTACAGCTGAGAAAGTGGGCGAGGCTAGAGCAGCAGGCATTTAAAGGGCCCTCTGTGCTCCAACTGCAGATGCCCGCTCCACCTTGAAAGTGGGCAAAGCATCATGGACACTCCCACTTTGACCACCCTTGAGTTCATATTCTGTGGGAAATCACTGAACTACTCACTCCGTTTTATCAGTAAGCCCAAATGTTACAGAAAACTCAAGTAAAGTCACTGGTCTTAAATCTTTAAACTGCCCTGGACTCCATGGCTGCCTGAACTAAAAAATACTTGAAATCCTTCAAACAATCTAGGTCAGCGGTTCCCAACCTGTAGGTTGCGACCCCTTTGGGGGGCGAACGACCCTTTCACAGGGGTCGCCTAAGACCATCCTGCATATCAGGTATTCACATCATGATTCATAACAGTAGCAACATTACAGTTATGAAGTAGCAACGAAAATAATTTTATGGTTGGGTCACAACATGAGGAACTGTATTTAAAGGGCCAGAAGGTTGAGAACCACTGATCTAGGTCTACAGATCTTTACCCATGCAGTTTTCTTCCCCGGTGCCCCCTTGACGACTCCTATTCATCCTTCAAAACCTAGCTCAGACAAATTCTGCTCTGTTCAAGTCTTCATAGCCAACGTCCCTGAACAGATACAATCACTTCTTCCTCTTGGTAACTTCTAGTCTCTGCAGACAATTCTATTATTGTCCTCTATCCTCTGGCACCATTGTTGGTCTCCACACCAAGTTCCCTTATCAAATTGAGGTCTTATGAAGGACACAGTCTGGTATTAATCACCATTATATCACCAGTCCCTAGCAAAACACTTTACGCATAGTGTGTATTGAGAAATGTTGGCAGAGTTGAGTTAGTAGAAGTGGTATTGCTAGGTCTTCTGCATGTCCTTTCCCTGTGGCCCTTTGGTGACCACTCATCTTACTAGATGGTTAATACAACAAGAGGACCTGGCTGTGCCTCCGCCATTATTATTGCATATTCAGGCTGATCCATCAGAATTTTGTTGATGAGGAGCTCCCAAAGGAAAGGCAGGACATGGATGAGATGGTGATGCTACACCAAGCTTATCAATTCATCCTGCTGTCTGTCCACCCCCTCCCCCGAGAGGGTCCTGCAGTAGACAGGGAGTTAGACAAATTCATGACCAAAGAATGGTTCCCTCTCTCTCTGAAAGACCACAAGTCCAAGACCAATGGGTGTGAAGAGGAGAACAGCAGCCAGATGGCCACCACTGACATGACAAATGTCATACCTTAGCCAACACTGACATGACAAAATGTCACACTATGGGCAGCACACATAGCATGCAAGACTTCAAAGAGATGAATGAGCTTTTTTTCTGGGACAAAGAAGGTTAGAGCAGATGGCTTCCTGCTTTGAGCAGTGGGGGATTTTTTTTTTATGGGCACTGAGGAGCTGATAGGAGACAGCTTGTAATACTAGTCCGTGTCACCTGATGGGAGAGATGCAAGTACTGTGCATCTGTAAATTCCACTTGCTCCTTATCATCACTCAGACCCATGTTCTATGTCTGCTTGGCCTGAGAAACCAAGAAGTATGTCAACAACAAAACCTTAAAGGTTCCCAAAAATCAAAGAAGCAGGAGACATTTAAGCTGTGTTTGTGCACTTCCTTCTCTCTTTATCCTTTCTCACTTTCAGCCCTTCTGCAGAAAGTGATACTTGTCTGTCACCAATTCTTTAGGTCCCTCTAGCCCAGTGGTTCTCAACCTTCCTAATGCCGCGACCCTTTAATACAGTTCCTCATGTTGTGGTGACCCCCAACCATAAAATTATTTTCGTTGCTACTTCATAACTGTAATGTTGCTACTGTTATGAATCGTAATGTAAATATCTGATATGCAGGATGTATTTAGGCGACCCCTGTGAAAGGGTCGTTCGACCTCCAAAGGGGTCGCGACCCACAGGTTGGGAACCGCTGCCTAGCCAGAAATTCTCCAAGGTTGCATAAAACTGGTCTGAGTAAGTGGATGTCTCATTGGTAAAATGCGGAAAGTCCCAACTATCTCACCCACGTCCTTTTATTTATTTGGAAGCTTGTCATGCAGCCTGAAATTTCTACCATCACAGTTTGTCATCTTAGAGTTAAATTTTGCTCCAGGAGGCACCTGTTAAATTCCATAGCTCCCACTGGAAAGTGTACTGTATGAATACATTTATCCGTCTGTGTACTGATTCAAGGCCAAGTGTGTGAATGTTATGTGTAATTATATCATCAGGCTGTGGGCTACAAGCCATGTAGTCCCCATCCTTGAGAGCATCCTCCCAGTGGAGGGAGAAAGACAAATAACTGTGTGCAGAATGTGGCATACCCCTGGAATCTCTGAGATAATAGAGCCCTACAGACAGGTAGGAAGAAGGGGCTGCAAGCTGGAATATTTATAAAGGACAACCATGAAAGGTTGGAAGATGATCCTGAGGAAAAGTAGAATTAATATATTACCTCAATGTACAGTTTAAGAAGTTCTTTCATGTCTCTCTTAATTGACCCTCATGACAACCCTGTAAGATAAGTAATGTTGTATTATTTTAATTCCCACTTTACAGATGTGGAAACAAAAGCTCAGGATGGAGGAGAGTCTTTCCCAAGAAATTAAACTATGAATCCAGGGCATGGAGCCAGGTCTTCTGATTCCAAATTGTACAGTGGCATGCTGGCTCCAATTCCAGGGGCCTCCTGAAATAACTTAGCAGGTTCCATGGGATGACCTCTCCTTCCACACCGCCCAGCACACTTCCACTGTAGTTGCAAACATAGTACAGAGCTGGTTGTGACCCAAAAATGACATGCACATCCTTGTATCCATTACTAAGTCGTGTTTTCACTGAAATGGTCTCAGCAGAAAAAAGATGTTGCAAATAATTCTGACATATCACAATCAGAATTTTTTAGGTTTCCAGGAAAGCAGAAAGTAAAAGGTGACAAAACCAATGAATGAAAGGTAGGCAAATTTCAGAAGACCACGTGGAAGGGAATTAATAAAATAGGAAGTGTTAAAAGAAGCAAAAGATAAGCATCTCAGAATATGTTGCAAAAGGGGATAAAGTCTTTATGGTCTAACCTAATCGTTGATATAACCTCCTAAGGTGTTTTGTCTGACACTAGGCTGGCCTCATCCAGGAAATCCTCTACTAGGCCACCAGAAGAGCCTTGTAAAACTTGGATCTTGTAACATTTCTCTCTTGCTCAAATCCACCAACAGCTCCCATCATCCACAAGATAAAATTTAAAGACCTCAGGAAATAAAAAATATATATAACAAAAACTATAGCATCCCATAGAAATATAGGAAAGTAGAGTTAACTAATTCACTCCAAAAGAGCAATAAAGAGATGGAAAATGGAAGACAAAAAATAAAAAAACTAACCATTCTAGGAGTTTCACCATCTGTCCAGTAGGAGAATCAGAACAAAATAATAGAAAAAATAATTCAAGAAAATTTCTCAGAGCCAAAGGGTGGGAATCTCCAGATTACAAGGCCAATATGTAGCACTGCCCAAAATAGTAGCCCCTAGTCACATGGCTGGTCAAATATAAGTATAAATTAATTAAAATTAAATGAAATCAGAAACGCAGTTCCTCAGTGTTCAATAGCCTCACGTGGCTGGTGGCTACCATATTGGACAATGGAGATAGAGAACATCTGCATCAATGCAGAAAGGTCAATTGAACAGCTCTGTCCTTGAATAATGGATGGAATCAGGGCACCAAGTCACATTATAATAAAATGTCAGAACAACAGGGACAAAAAGAAGATTCCCAAAAGCTTGCGGAAAGGGTAAGGGTAGCAGAAAATAGGTCTCATACAAAGGCTTAAAATTTAGAAAGGCGCCCTAATCGGTTTGGCTCAGTAGATAGAGCATCGGCCTGCGGACTGAAGGGTCCCAGGTTCGATTCTGGTCAAGGGCATGTACCTTGGTTGTGGGCACACCCCCAGTAGGGGGTGTGCAGGAGGCAGCTGATCATTATTTCTCTCTCATTGATGTTTCTAACTCTCTATCCCTTTCCCTTCCTCTCTGTAAAAAATCAATAAAATACATATTTTTAAAAAAATTTAGAAAGGCATTAAACTTCTCAACAGCAAAACTAGAAATAAGACTCTGTTTCTAAACTCAGAGAGAAAAATCTGGCCAGCCTAGAATCTATGCCCAAACTATCAACGTAGCATGAGGATACATCTATTAGATGTAGTCAGACATGCAAGTTTTAAAAAAAATTTTTACTCCTATGTATCATTTCTCTGAAAGTTACAAGATAATTCCCTCTACTAAATGGATGGAGAAAAGCAAGAAAGATAGGCAGGGGGTCTGGGAACAGCTCATTCATCCCAGCTGAGAGGCCATGAAATGTCTGGGGCAAGGCTGTGCAGAAGCTACCAGGAGCAAGCAGCCTAGACCAAAAGCAAAGAGAGAGCCCCTGAAGGGTCTGAACATGTGGAGAGGAGAGGAGAATCATGCTTTTGGTGGATAATAAGGACAGAGAAAAATCATCAAATTACTAAAAGATACTATTAATTTCAAGGAAAATGAAAAGTTGTCAAGAACACAAATGGAAGCATAGACATGTACATGGCTCAACTGTTAATAGTAAGTACTTAAGTCATATTGATGATGCAAACACCGAGTAGAAATCAGATTCCTTTTCCTGTTTTGAAAAGACAGGAAGTGTGAATGAGGCAAGGAGGGTATTAGGAACCTAAATTCTCATCTTCCAGAGTAATCAAGAAGTAGGAGTCTAAGAATGTCATTTAATTACATGGCAGTAAACATCAGAAGAAACAAATAAACAGTGAAGTTCAAAGTGAACTCTGGAGGGAAAAACTAAGGGGGGATCAGGTAGGGCAAAGTGTCACTAGTTTCGTTATACATCTTATAGTACTGTTTTAGATTTTAAAGCATGTATG